CTCGACATTGAGATGTATGATATGAAAAGAAGAAGAAAAAAAATGAGTCCTAAATATAGTATATCTTGTAAGAAATTATCTAGATCGTCTATTTTCAAGATTTTCAAGTGTTTATAGATTCGCTAATTTGAACTATTTTTTAAGTTTAAAAATCTAGGATTGAATACAATGAGGCCATTTACTTTTGATATATGAAGGTCACAATTACTTACAACCGTCCGATATGAAATTTGATAGCTAAGATGTGTCACAAAGTTCAAGAAAAAAATTTTTAAAGTTTGATCTTCATCAATGGAATAAATGCAGCCATCCAATATCACACCCAATGGTCAAGATTAATTGTGACAATCTTGTAACAAAGGTAAATAGTCTCATTATATACTTTCCCTTAAATATATTTAGAGATGATGATAGATTCTCAAGCCATCATACAAAATTTTTACACTAAAATTATATTGGGAAATTATAGCGTGAGACTATTTACCTTTGGTGCAAGGTGGTCATAGTATCTTGACTATTGGAAGTAAAATTAGGTGGCTGCAATTATTCCATTGGCCAAGCTCAAACTTCAAAAGAAATTTTCTCGAACCTTGTGACACATCTAAATTATCAAATTTCATATCAAATGGTTGTAAATAATTGTGACCACCTTGAATCAAAGAGAAATGACATCATTGTATACAATTACAATTATATTTATGATAAAATTTGGAGGTGCATCTTAATTTGATTATTTAAAGTTACAACCTTATACAAACTACACCCTTTTTCAAATAGTTTAGGCATTTTTTTTTATGTTTTTATTTTTTTATTTTTTTATTTTTTTTTTGAAGGCGCTAGTAGGCTAGTGTCAATGAAGGCTAATGTCAGTGAGAAAGAGTGTGGGGGTGTTATCACCATGACCGCCCCTTTCCCAATTGCCCCTGTTCTTGTTTCACTAAACCTCACCTACCCCTTTTTCTCTCCCTAAGAGACCTACCCTTTTCTCTCTCTACATGCCCCTTCCTTTTTCTCACCTGCCTTTAAATCCTCGCAGATTATCAACTCTATCCTTTCCACTAACTTCTACTTGAACATCTAGACTTATCTACCAAAAATTACTTATCTAACTAATCACAAGGGATCAATAGCCACATTTTATCATGCCAACAATTAATCTGGTACAAAATATGGTTTCTCTTGCATGGAATGTTATCTCTCATGACAAACACTTGATCGATTTCACACTTCATATTCTTTAGTTACTGATAAAAAATTTCAATACAAAAAAGGAAGAAGGTAAATAATGCATGATTTGATAGAAATAGAAACTCGTAGACCCTCAAAAGGTGATGGCCTATTTAAAGTTTTAGAGAAACAATGTTATTTCGGTTGCAATACTAAAAAAATGAAATTGAAGCGAGAGAGATTCCATACAAAATACTGACTAACTCTCTAAGTCATTGAGTCATTATTAGAGAGAGAGAGAGAGTCCGTTTTTTCATGTAAAAGACTGAATGTTTCTTCAAAGTCATAATTTCAAAAGTGCATTGGGAGGATTTCCATTGAAAACCATGGCCTACAAAGCGTCATATGAATGGCCAGACTTTGGGGAATTCCACACACAATGAAACAGAAGCATAAGATGTAATCAAAAGACTGATTGATTCTGCACGTCGCTATTTCAAAAGTTGATGGATTACTCAAAAATTTAGAAATACAAAAATATAACTTCAAATTCAATGCTAAAGACACGAAATTAGAGAGAGAGATTCCATACAAAACAGTAATTTTTCAAGTAATTGAGTCATTATCAGTGATAAAGTGATTGATTCCTCAAATTTTTATCTCAAAAGTATATTGGGGGAGTTCCACAACATCTGATGCAATCCAAAGACTTTGGATGTCACTCATTGACCTCGGTCACCGCCACGTAAAACACGATTTCGCAAGTATATATATATACGGACAAGGTTTCTATGAGATGGCAGACTCATATATTTAAATGAGTCATCTCTCCTAAATCTATTGTAGAGATGGATTTTGGGTTTAAATTATTAAAGAATGAAATTATCAATCATGTTAAGTGGACTTAAAATAAATAAATTTTAAAAATAAAAAATGGAATTTTTTTGACAGGATTTGTACACGGTTGGTTTTGAAAAACGGTGTATATATAAGGAGTGGATTCTGTCAACCCACGGACTAACTGCTACAGCATTAGTCAATGGCTTAGATTCATTTTGGGCCGATCTTACAGTTACGATCGTATTTTGTATTTAAATTTTCAGTTTTTTCTACAAATCCAAATCACTTTAAATTCTAGACGTTCATTATTCTCATCAACGCGCACCTACTAAAAATATAATGAAAATAATTCACAAAGTGTAAATTGATCAAAATACCTCTGAAATATTTCAAGGGTATTTTGATCAATTTACATTTTACGAATTATTATTTTTATATTTTTATTAGATTTTCTATTTACGAAGAATAAGCGCTCCAAATTTCAAGTAATTTGAATATGTAGAAAAACAATGAAATTCAAACACGAAATGAGGTCGTGACTGTCAGATCGGCTCAGGTTGAATCAAGGCCATTGGTTTTTATTAGATTTTCCTATTTACGACGAATATACGCTCCAAATTTTAAGTGATTTGGATATGTAGAAAAAAAATGAAAATTCAAACACAAAATGAGGTCGTGACGGTCAGATTGAATCAACGCCATTGGCTAACACTGTAGTTGTCAGCCCTGGGGCTAACACGATCTTTTCCCATATATATATTTCGAAAATGTTTATATAAGGATGCAACCTTATAATGTAGAACTATGGATGCAATTCAAAAAGGTAGTTTTAACGTTGAAAAACCATTTGATTGATTATCTCGACATCGAGATGTATGACCATGAAAAATAAACATATTGTAAGTCTCAAAAATAGTGCATTTTACAACATATTATCTACACCTTCCATTTTTAACACCTTCCATTTTTAAGATTTTCATATGTTTATAGATTTACTTGGTTTTAACCACTTTTGAAATTTACAAATTTATAATTAGATAAAAAAATAGATTTTGAGATAATCCTAAGAACTTTTTACATCAAAATCATATACCATGATAAAATTTGAAGGTGCACCTTACCTCTACAGCTACAGATGCATCCGTATACCAACTACGCTATATATATAGTCGTGGGAGGGCAAGGCACACAGGGGGATAGGG